TGTCAACACGTCGGAAGAGTTCACACCGCCAGTGCACAGTCATTCCAGGCTAATAATGAAGTCGCTCAACGGTTCCATGCATTCGATCTCATAAGAATGCATAAACTGTAGACTTGAAGTTTGTGTGCACTCAGACTCCACAACCCAGCCAACCACAGCTATGGAAGGCGGCGCAAAAACAACTGCCATGAACTGCAATGATTTGTGACTATTTTGCCTTGTTGACTCAAAACCACTTAGAGGATGTTTGCAGATCCTTCAACCGATGTTTGGTTTCAATATGTTTATAGCGACGGAGTAAAAGATAGAATGACCGTTTGGGACCGTGCGGGGATGAAGAGAGAGACCAGGATTGCACGAGGTTGCCACGCATTCAAGTGGTAGGCATACAAGTGGGAACATACCTGGGAGTAGCTGTTCAGAAGGGAATTCTGGAGAGAGACCCCGTCACTTGCCAACTCACTTAACTTGCCGGATACATGCTTTCGCTAGCTCTCTCTCTCTCTCTAAAGTGACCCCCGATCCAGCCAAATACAGCCAGAAATGCCGCTAAGTTCTATGGACTAAAGCTCCAAGTTCTTTGATTCTACTATATTCTACTTGACATGTGTTCTTGTTACTATGGACGCATTCTATCTTCAACAGTTAGAATGCGTGGCTCCGTCGTGCAATCCCGGTCTCTATCTTCATCCCCGCGCGGTGCCAACAGGTCATTCTATCTTTCACTCCATCGCTATAAACATATATATACAGTATATACATACATAGGGGTGACAGCAAGCTCAGCTAGCCTTGGCAAGGACAGGGAAGAAGAGTGGTTAAAACAAGGCAGGCTGTGAATAGCTGTTACTTGGTCAAATCTATGATATGCATTGCTAATGTTTGCTTCTGCATCTTTGTTTTCACCCAAAAACACATACAGTAGAATGTCTGGACTACGCACTACACAAGAAACCTGATATCAAGCCCATAGGCAAAGGAAATCATGTGTGTGTGTGTGTCTATGCTGTTTTTTTCAGATTCCGTCTTTGCTGTCTCTGCTCATGCTTCCTTCCGCAACCATCCATGTGTGATCACGTGCCTTGGTGACATGCCTGTGAGCAAAAAGACCTTGCGGATGTTTTGTATTTGCCACTGCATTTCTGAGTGAGTGCATGCGAGTACAAGCCCACTACATTCCAGCAAGCTACAGTAAGCGACAACTTTATGTGCTCAACTTGACCGACCACAAACTGAATGATTGAACATGATTAGTCAAATGCGTGTACGGCCTCAATAGCAATGGCAAACTACATTGCCCAAAATGTTGACCTATCTTTATATCCCGTAAAAAGTAAAAACGTTTATGAAATCTCTGCAGTGCTTCCATTTCAACCGCTCACTCGGTACTTGAAACCTCGTGAATTTTCGTGGATCATAACCTACTGAGCAGCATTGGCTTGAATACGTTGGCGCGAATTGCTGACAACATGGGATTCGTATCCCCATGATCTAGTTTCCGGCTTGGCTTGTTCAGGAACAATCAGCATCGTTGGCTGATCACTTTGCCTGCACACCCCAAGACCTCAGTACAGTATCATACAATTCAAGGAAGTTGATTTGAGCAAAGGAGGCATCTGAGGAAGTCAGCTGAGGGAAAAGCGAAGCTGGCTGCACTTGCACCATGGGAGAAAGTTGTCTAATCCCTGGTGTGGGTGGCAAGCTTGTCACGACCTCAATAAGCTGCCCAACATGATGCAAAGCTGGCGCAACAATTCGAATTAGTGTCAAACTGAAAAAGTTATGCTTGTTCTGCTCACCGTTTAATTTACCAAACTTTGTCAGCCTAGCTCAGCATAAATATGGTCAGTCTAGTATAATCTATATGGTATACAGTATATATAATTTGTGATGATTCTTGCCTAAAAATGCAAACCACGAAGTCTAAGTACAATGGCTGTTCGGCCAAAAGCCGCTGTCAGTCATCTATCTACGAGTGTACTCAATGAAAGACCAAACCAGTTTCTGAACCCCAGTTTTGGAACCGTAGTTTCTGAACCTGGGCTAGTTCTGAACTGGATGGTTGGAGACACATCAGTGAATAGGCCACAGTACCAATATATACATGTTCACTACTGTCAAGTGCCTCTTACCCTTCGCGATCAACAGTCTCGCAACCAACTAAGGCTGCGACGGGTTCTTGGTACACGATCGGCTGCACCCCCGATGTCCATCCTTGTTGAACTGGTGCCTTCGTCTTGTGCCGTTGCAATCTGTGCTGGTGAGCTGCTGCCAAACAGAGTTTGTTGAACAACAACTAATTTCAGCAGTTTGTTGACAGGGGAAGCAAGAATACTATTATGGCAACTCTAGGTACAGAATATACAGTCAGTATGAATTTTATCACTAGTTGTCCGTTCATCCAACTGTATAACGCCTTGCACAATGATAACATGGGATATATAACTTTAAAACACAAATCTGTTCAACATACTGGCTAGTGCTTATTCCCACATTCTGCCTTATACACTGTTCCCCTACCTTGCATTTCAAGCAGTGAGAAAACTGTTGTGCGGTTGGGACGTGATCCATGTGTTGTCATGGGTGCAGCGCAATCTAAAGCGGCAAACGATTGAACACCCATTGCAGTCGCTCCATGATTTGGGACATGTATTTTTCACACAGTTAGCTGGGCGAAACACAACGCGACAAAGCCATGCGACGACCTAATCCGATGGTGAGTAAAGGAAACCCCTGCAAAAGAAGACACTCGTGGACATCACCTGTAGCACTTGCGCAGCAAATGACAAACACTACTAGATTCACTTGCCAAAGGAATGATCTGTGTGCCTGCACTTTGATCATTTATGATCTACTTGAAACTGCTTCTGTTCATATCCCCAGCAGCTCAATGTGTGAATTAATGAGCACAAAAAGCGTTCCACAATCTGACTCCAGGTGTTTTTGCCTTTTGGTCCATTAAAGGTCGAACGCCAAACCAATCAAAGTCAGCTGAGGGGCGGATGCCAATGGATATCTACGAGGTGGATCGGCCTGAGTACCACAAATGTCAATCTGTTGGATGTGCTCAGATTGCTCAAGCTTGCTGCCATCTCAGGTGTGTATCCACTCGCTTCACCAATGACCTGTAGTTCTCCCTCACTCTCTCTCTCTCTCTCCCTCTCCCTCAGTCTCCGTCTCCGTCACAAGTCAGTGAAGCTAGCGCCTGCGTTGAGAGGTCGTGGGTATGGGTGTCAATCGCATCCCACAAGCGTCGATACTCCTTCGTTCTCTCCTCAATCTCCTTTCGGGGACAAAGACCTGTACAATTCTGTTTCCTCTCTCCTTCCCTCTTTCTCCCTCTTTCTCTCTCCCTCCCCCCCCTCCCTCCCTCTCTCTCTCTCTGCAGTCCTTGCGGAGCAAGCTATCGAAAATACCAAGAGTCTTTTGCACCGACTCAATCTCAGTGGCGCTGCAGGTGGGAGAGGCACGGACAGGATGGACAGGCATCCGTTCTACTTTCAGATTTCATTCTTGGTACCCCTTCTGGATTTGATCTGGGGCTGAGATGGTGGCTCGTTCTTCGAAGGAAGAGTGGTGCTTGGATCGCTCTGCCTTCTCTTGGGCGAGGAGTTCCTCAAAAAATGACAAAATCCACAAAGCAACCAATAAATACCAATGTGACAAACCAGCTAAATAAATTTTCGATCCACATTCTGCAGACACACATTCTGCATCATTCTGCACAGCTGATGCCACCTGTCTATTCTGGTTGCGGCTCTACTTTCAACCCTTCCACGCTTGGTACATACTTAGCCAAATAAATTGCAACCTACTTTTGACGCTCCCCATCCTCAATGGCACCACGAGCGGCTTTCTCCTTGTGAACGAGGTCATGAAGCATTCCGTGGTGCCTCAAACAAATTCCACTGCATACTATCCGAGAGGAGGAACGTACGAACCGTGAAACATCGTGAAAACCACATTCGGTGAGAAAGCAAAACATTGAAAACATACATACTTTGCGTTTTTCAACCTTTGGTGTTCTGCATGGGCCATGCATTTGGCATAAGCATAGTCTTCTTATCATGGCGCAACGTCGGATTGAATCAGAAACCGCGTGAAAGGCAGAAGTGAAATTTGTTGATAAACCAAATTGAGGATGACAGGAGACTTCTTTGAATGACAAAATAGCCTCTTTGACTTGGAACCATGTGGTGTCTTGCAAAGTCTGAGCCCACCACTGCTCACGAGCTTTACGTTCCTTTTGAATGACCTCATGGATGTCCCTGTGACGGCCCTGCAACAACGATTGACAAACCAGAAACTTTCAAAGCAACTCGAGGCCGACGAAAAATTCAACACCTCATTGGCAGCTCGTTCTCGGCCAAGCAATTCTTGGTGATGTTCGTGTTGTTTGTCCTTGGTCACCAGGCACACGTGTCTGACTGTTAAACGGTTTTGCCGTTCGCCAGTATGACGGTCCGGATTGTTGTTTCAATGCTTAGGGCTGCTCTCTGGCCTCTTTCTCCCTGCCAACCAGTTCCTGGATGTGGGCATGATGTTGGTCTCGTGCTGCCTGTTTGATCAACCGGAAAAAGGTGCACAAGTTGCAAGTTGATCAAGTTGCACACTCGAATGTGTGTGTGTGTGTGTGTGTGTCACACTCCGTCCCGAGGAGTTTTTTGTTTTTGTCAAGTGCAGGGGGCTATAGCGGCCCATTTCTCAACGCTAGCCAACGAAGCTAGAGAGATGGGTGGATGAGTCTGTGGACGCACAGACTTGCACCTGCAAAAGAAACTTTTGATCACGCTGTCCACTCCTCTGGTTTGATGCCATGGTGTTTCGCATGATACACCCCAAAACCTTTCCCCACCGCCGACTGGCAGCCGCGTTGAGCGTCAGATCGTTCTCGAGTGCATTTGCAAACAACGTTGAATCATTCATTTCCGCGGACTCTGCCACCTTACGTTTCCATCGTCCATTTCACTGAGGAACAGAGTTAACTGCAAACCCATTGTCTAAGTGTGTGCCGCTCTGTCGTCCCACTGGGTACAGAGTGCGATCCTCTCGCAAGAGAGGCGCCGAAGTCATAGTAAATCAGCTGTCTCTGCATGCGTTGGATTATCTTTTCTGATTTGAATTGAATGTTTCACCCAATGAACTTCCTGCCGCAACACTGCCGAGCTTACGGAGATTCGATAACCGCTGGGTTTACGGAGTTTCTTGCCAGAGCTTTCAAGGTTCGAGTACCATGCAGCTGACCTTTTCCACTTTTCCAATTTCCATTTCCATGAACTGTCACATGTTGGACTTTTGACTTTCACAATTTCTTCAACTTGTTCCATGCGCCCCCACTCCGTTTGCGATGGATTTTTAAAACCTCTCAGCTACCCACATTTCACCTTCTTTCACTGTTATCCAGTGACCTTTTGCCTGGCGCCGATTCTTCGTGCTGCCGCCGCCGCTCGCGCTGCTGCCGACGACAACAGTGACTTGAGAGCTCAGCAGCGTGCAATTCCCTTGGCCATATCCATACCCACCACAACCTCAGCCCCAGGCGATGCCTGTTCTTCCCACCGCAACCTACACCGTGCCATCCTTTTCCCACGATGCAACATTCCACATGGCCTCCACATCCTTCTTTTCCAACACCACCAGCCACCTTTCCGCAGCCACGTCAACACTCTCCACCAGCGCCCGTCTTTCCAATTATCTTACAGCTTTCCCACCACCTTACCGCCACAAGAGCTTTGTCATCCTATTTCTCAACCACCACTCACGCAACCAACAGCCACCGCTCCATCACATCCACCTCCACAACCACCTCCAGCCACCTCCGCTCCACCACCAGCTCCCGCTCCCCAACCTGCCACACTCACCTGGGATCCTCACCAAGGAGTCTGGCAGCCACATCCTTTTTCAGCTTCACCAGTGAATCCATCCAAACCTCCCAACCGCCGCTCCGGCGGTCGGGTCCACCGTCGCGGACCCCAACCAGCCCACCGGCCCGGAACAGACAGCACAAGGTTCCACCACAAAGGGACACGCAGCAATCGACTGCAAACGGTTTTAGATGGCTCTGAATGGCAAACTGTGCGTCTGATCTTTCACAGCTGGCCATATACATCAATCGCCCAACAATGCTTCTGAACTTGGCGATCTCCTCTGGTGAAGTGGTGGTGAGTTGTCTTTCTTTGCGAAGTTCTGGTGGGCGTTTTCTGGTATGACTTGCTGAACAGGTCAAGCTCCTTCTCCAGGCCATAGTATTGTTTTCGGTCGCGTCTGATATCGCAGCGCTCCCCTCTAATTTTGAGCTGTCTCTTGTGATGTAGGAACTTCTCTCCTGCGGCAAACGGCCCCTTCGCTTCCACCTTCCACTTCTTCTTATCCTTCAAGAATAGCACAAACTCCTGAAGGATCTGAGGCGTTCCCACCACGAAGACATCGTCTACGTGTACAGTCATGTACACGTTGCCTTGAAAACATCTGGAACGATTGCGATGCAGCTGTTCTCCG